TTTTTCTAAGGCAGAATTAGCCAATCCCAATACCCTGTAAGCAGACACAATCTGAGAAGAGAGCAAACAGTTACTTAGTGACTGCCTGGGGTCGGGGGTGGGCAGTGGAGGAGAAATACCAACTGGTTCTCCTCTCCTTCTTTTAAATAACCCACTAAGTTTCTTGCCCATGACAGCTAGAAAGTGAAAAAAACAGGTATTAGAGCTGCAGTCAATATTCTTTTTAATATTTCACAATGGAATGTTAGATGCCGCACACACACAAAAAAAGTCAAATTTGCATAAATATCATAAGCATATTGTGCATACTTTCTCATTCTGTTCACTCTTTCTCATTAATCTGAGTCAGACAGTACAAGCTCTACAGACCGTGGGACTGGTCCCCTGCACCCTTTCCCCCTTCTGTTCCAGCTCTGTCCCCAGATGGTAAAATCCACGCTCAGGGCTCACGTTTAATGCACATAGGGAAGGGACTAAAGCAGGATCTCCCCTGGAGGGGAGGGTTGAAAACAAACAAACAAACAGGTAAGAATTAATTTGTCTTATATTTAGCTAATTTTATTAAAAGATGATCACAGTGGCATTGCCTACATGTTAACCCCAGTGTTGAAAAGAAAAGAAATCTGGACCTTCTGATTCATGATCCCTTCTTCTTGCACTGGCTTTACCCCAGGGTGGCCATTTCTCAAGATCTGAGCGCAGCCCATCAGAAGACTTGAAGTGGCCACAGACAGGGCAGCTCTTGCTGGAGGCAGGAGAGATGCAAGGATGCTACCTGAGAGGATATGAGGAGAGCAGGGTACATTGAGAAGACCTAGTAATTCCTCCCCTTATTTCCCAAGCAAGTTCTGCTTTGCCTGCCCCCCTCCCCACAACCAATTGCTGCATGCCCCTCCTGGCTGCCCCTCTGCTGTCCCTCATCCCATTTTTCCAAAGAAGCACGGGGACAGCAGAAATGCGCTCCATCACAGGACCGCGACATACAGCCTTTAAACATTAGCGTCTGAGTTGCAGGCAGGGGTCTCACAATCACCCTATTCTGCACACAAGAGGCCCCTGGAATAAAGAGGAGGTAAGCTGCCCACGCGTAACCCTTTGCCCTGTCGCGTCCACTTTCTCCTACGGAAAATAGCTGCGGGTCACTGAGACGCTTTTCAAGATAACGCCAGTCCCAGGGCTCAGGTGAGACCTCTAGAGAGAAAGCTCGTGGGTACCTCCTCCGCATGCTGTTATCGTCTGCCAGCCCCCTTATCCCGGAGCTCGGCCCTCTGCCGGCTGCGCGCACAGCGCGGAAGGGCGCATCTTCACCCGGTGGCTCTGGCGGCGGAGACGCGCGGGGCGTGCTCTGGAGCGAGGAGCGAAAAGTTGTGCGCCCACTTGGGTAGGGGGAAAGAGAACGAGCGAGCCAGCGAGCGAGAGTGAAGGGGGAAGGCGGGGAGGGGGCGGGGAGGGGGATTGCTTGCATGAATTTCCAAGTGGTAGACCTGCCTCTGCGCTCTGCCCAATGAGATCCGTCAGGGGAGGCACCCGGCTCACTTTTCCACATCACTTCACAGTTACATTTGGCAGGCAGGCGGGCTCGCACGCCGGAGCGCTCAGCCCAGAATTAGTGGATTTATTTGGAATCTCCCTGCCTTCTCCAAGCTCCGCCGCCGCCGCCGGTTTGTGCATAGATGGTAGCATCAAGCCACCAGCTGCACTTTGGGCTGCGGACACCCAGAGCCCAGCGCGCCCGCCCCGCGTCTCCGCACCAAGCCCTGCAGCTCCGAGAGGCATGAACGGAATCCGGAGGCGCCTGCCCAGCGCGCAGGGACTGGTCGGCGCTTGCTGCCCTTGGGAGCTGACCCCGAGCCCCTCCAGCCATTTGTGAACCAGGAGGCTTGACATTCGCCAGCGCAGGGCCCCGCAAGAGTAAGTGTTCCGCCAACCCACCCCCGTTTTTCTCTCTGTCCCAACGATCCAGAAGGGACCGTTTCTTTTAAGAATTCCCATGTCCCTTCGGACACCTTGCGCGCCTCCTGCCTCTTAGATGGTGGATGCGGGTTCCTAGCACAGGCTCGGGGCTAAACTGTGTCTTTCGCGATATCCGTGGGTGATGCTTACGCCTCAGGGTTTTGCCTGACTGTTTTTGAAAACTGCTCTGACAACAGATCCTGGAGAGTAGCAAGCTCCAGGCTGTGCCCCTCCAGTTTTCCTGCCGGTTTCCTTTCCTGCTGGTACCCGGCTATTTCGCCTCCTCCCAACGCGGGCAGGAGCTGCTGTAGCCGCGCGCCTTCACTGCGGGGTCTGTGCGGGGAATAGGAAGCACCCGCCGCCCGCCGTGCAGAGGGTGCAAGCCAGAGATAAAAGGAGGCGAGGGAGCCCGAGTGCCCTATCGCTGGGTTTCTGCACTGCCTCTTCTCCCAGGCAAGGGAGGGCGACCCCCGCAGAAGGGCTGCGGGCCAAGACTCAGCTGCGAAAGCCCCAGCGCGAGGCTTTCCCACAAGTGGCGGCTTCAGCTCTGCGAGGCGCGGTGCCCGCTGCAAACTTGCCGGTCCCTGGAGCCGCCCCGCGGCTCTGCCCTCGCCAAGACGCTGCCCAGAACCCCTGCAGGACCCCCATGCAGTGTCTCTCCCGAGCTCGAGAGATTGCACGCACGGAGGCTCCCCCTGAGTCGAGGACTCCGTAGCCTCTATCCTAGGGAACGCTGAGCCTAGAGCTGAGCTTTCTGTGATCTGGCGGCTTCTCATCCGAGAACCCCTGAGGGGCTGGTCACGCCCCTCGCAGGACCCGAGGGAAAAAGGCTCTTGCCTGGGTTCTGCCAGTTAAGTAACAGGTTCTTAAGGGACCTACTCCCGTTCTCCCAGGCTCCAGCCAAGGCTGGAAAACAGTAAAAACGTGTCGCCGCCAACGCTGATGCCAACAGGTATCCACAATTTACTCCGCTTCTTCCTCCCCGACACCAGAGCCTCCCCCAACCCAACCTGGCGGAATCCTCAAAGTTTCCTTGCTGTTGACCCTTCCCCTGCAGGCACGGAGCCGGCGGCACCTCAAGGACTAGCCTTTTGCCTCCACGAGCGGAGATGGCAGCTGTTTGCTTGGGTTGCTAAATGTAAAATGTCAAACAACATTAATTGTTTATTGTTGCAAACGCACAACATTAGTCCGTAATGGAAAATCAGGCTGTCAACCGCTCACTTCAGCTCCAATTAAACGATAGAGCTTATCACCAAGACAGCAGGAGGGAGAAAAGGTCCTTTCAACTTTACCACCCTTTCCTGAAGATTCCACAAGAGTTTCCTCCTTAGGAGGCATGATCCGACAATCCCTTAGCGCGCCCGAGCTGCTAATCAGATCAGCTGCTTTCTTTCACCCTAAGTCACGATATTTGGGGGCTGACAATGGGAACGAGGTGACGCTAGGGAAGGTATGCGAGGGTACTGTCCTCTTGCATCTGGCACTATCGCGAAGTAGATCGGAGGGATGGGGGTTGGCTGGGGCCTTTTTGAAGCGCCTGTCGTCTTTACAACACTCCTGACAGCCATCGCAATGGTTAAAAACCCTCCCTGGGCTGTCGCCTCCGGCTTCATTATAGGAGCTTTTCAACTGAAAAACTATATGTGGGAAAGATGTTTATGTAAGATTCGAAAGTGGGATTTTCCATCCATTCAGCCTCCCTGCTGCAGCTCACTGCATGCAAAGTGAGCCCTGTCGTTCATGCTAAATACCACTAAAATCCCTGCCTAGATATTGCTTCGCATCAGCTGTGTCCAGTGTTGCAGGGATTTCTTCGTGCGTGTGTGTGTGTGTGTGTGTGTGTGTGTGTGTGTGTGTGTGTGTGTTTGAGAGAGAGAAAAGTATGAGGTGGGGGCTAGGACTGGGGTTCTTCTACCGAGAGAAGTGATACCTTTGAAGGATGATCTCTTAGGGTTACATTCCACCTCCCCCTCCTTAAAGGGAATTCTCCATAATCCTCATGTCCAGACATGCTTTTCTACTTCCCCGAGCTCTGCGGCTGGAATAAATTCTAGAGCTATCCCCCTTATTAAATAATAATTCTGATAACAATATTCTGTAATTCTGCTTTAGCAGATTTGGAGCTCGCTGTTACATAGTCATTTCATGCTGGAGCAGTCGCAGTAGTTTAAATCACCTTTGACTTTTTTTTTCCCCTGGACTCTGAAGAGGGTGAGGAGTTGAGGAAAATCCTTTTTGAAAATAAAGAGGGGAGTCTTCCTAGCAACTCTGGGGACTGCTTCATTCAGAGCCCTTCAGTGGCCATTTGCCTTTCTCAATCTGATCCCCACACCCCCCAAGTGAATGTCAAGTTATCCCCTGACCATCACAAATGGCCAAATGTTTTAGAGGCACTGGCTACTGTGCTCTGAAATTTTTGCTGTAATGCTGTCATTCAAACTTCTTAACCTATTTCCCCTGCAAGTTGGATCTTACATTACTAATTATTATTACTATTAGAAATCAATGCTTCTGCTTTATAATTTACAGTCTCTTAAAGCCCTCAAGATGGGTAAATCTCTGCACTAAGACTCTAACATTTCTTGGCTGCATTTCTGGTGTGTAGGATGCATTTCTTGAGTTCTTGAAGCGGTATGAATTTAGCTGAAGAACAGACAATTTTATAGCAGCCCTCACTAGAATACCAGTTCCATTTGCCTGCTGTACGTATACCAACTCTGAAGGGAAGGAATCCCTTACCCTGGAAAATAACTTTATTTGGGTATTATGTAGAACTGTGGTCAACACAGTATTCATTTATAGCAACCCCTCAATTAGCACTGAATACAATCTAAGTAGCCAATGGCAGCATGATTGATGTTAAACAAAACAAACAAGCAGCCCATGAAACATGCTCAGCCGGATGGAGGAGACCACTTGAGAAGGCGTTTGTAAAGACTGATGTGAATGTACTCAAAGATCTGATACTCCTTGTTAGGCAGGAGGAACAGATTGTTGGAACAAAGCAAATAAACTCCAAAAAATAAGAATATAATGATTCTATTCAAGAAATTGTACCTCTGGGCTTTGCTTTCCAAGTTCCTTTCATTGTTTATTGGTGGGGAAAAAGAACATGCACATACTGAAAAGTTCAAATCCACACTTCAACAGCTGTTCAGAAAACCTTATCACTGTAAGTAAATTAATGCTTTAAAAAAAAAAAGACAATCTTTGTTATTTTTCTGCTCAAGGTGGCACACCTCGTGGCTTTATCAACATTCCAATTTGAGCAGATTTCCCATGCAAAACCAAAGGCTTTCAATGGGTAAAGTGACATTCGATTTATATTTCCAGCCACACTTTTCTGGTCCATCAGCAAACCTTTGTGTCTGGTAAATCAAGGAACAAGCATAATTGGAGAAGCCTTTCTATCATAGGTGCAATTTAAGGTCTGAAGACTTCTTTCTGAAAATATTCTGCTCAGTGGTGCTGCTGATACTGGTTTCAGTCATTTATATTTGTTACAAAGTTGTTCAGTGCAGCTGATGGAGACAGTCTTCTTTTTGTTTTCAGCACTATTGGCATTCACAGAGGAAATGGTCTAACTTTGCTTTTTAATTTAGAAAAAATCTTCAAACTTTGGTGTGTTTTACATCTCTCATGGGGTGGGTAGATAAACCAATGCTAATTCTTGTTGCTCTCTATTATGTACACACACACACACACATGCACATAACACACGCGCACGCGCACACACACACAAACACACACACACACACACACACACAGCATGCTTCTTGAAAATGTTCCCAGATAACTTACTAATTTAGTGGTTCAAGTCTGAGATTTTTATCATGTTCCCTTTGCTGTTTCATCTGCCTTAGATTATTTGATTTGCCTTTCTAGCTACTCTGATTTGTATATTGATCAGTCTTTCAAAAAATGTTATCTGTTGTGCTGAGAATTTTCCTTCAGCATCCAATACATGTATATTTATGAAATAGAACAATTTTTTTGATGGACAAAGGCCATCATCCGATTTAGCAGGGCTTAATTAACCCAAAGGCTATTAGTGCTTTCTCATTTCATTCTTACAGAAAGTTGTGATGCTAATCTATTTCTGCTGAACTGTTGGTTCCTGTCTCTGGAACCTGCTTTAGATGTAACCATGAAGAGAAAATTAGTTGAACCTGGCAACTTCAAAAGGTCAGAAAAGAATAAGTTCAAGGGATGCCATTTGGCTCTTTCTACCATATGTTGCTGGTAACTAAATCTCTGTTGCTTCTTCATGGGAAAGCACTGGAGCCAATACTGTTTGTTTTTTTTTTTTTTTTCTTATCAAGTTTTAAGCTTTATTTCCTGAGTTTTAAATGTCATGTGCTATTCCCTATCATAAACAATATCCATCCTCTTGCTTAGATGTCGTGTGTGTGTGTGTGTGTGTGTGTGTGTGTGTGTGTGTGTTTTAACTTCTTTTAGTGGGCAGAGAAGTATAGATGTGATTTTCTGTATCTCTTTGGAAAGTATCATAAATGAATAAGATTTACATTTGAAACCTTCAAACACTTTTCCTTCTCTGCCCCCACTGCCAAAGACAATTGCAAATGCTATAATGATAGATGGTTCAGGGCTAAGCACCAAGTTAATGCTCAGTAAACATTTATTTAATGCAATAACAAATTACAAAGACTATGCCCTGCACCCTATACTAGTATATTTTCATTAAAAGAAAGAAATGCAATCATATCCAAAGTTCAATTTGTGACTTGGCTACTACAATTTTCTCTACAGAAATTTCATAAGTCCTCCTAAGTCTATTTTTAGCCACAGCTTTTCTCATTTATAAAATCAATTTTACTCATGTTTCACAAAGCATATTTTTATCCCCTCACAATCATGTTTTAAATGATATGGGAATATAAAATATGACATAATTCAGCTTTGTAAAAGTAGAATGCCTCCAAGACTAGACCTGC